TTAGTTAAGCTTTAGTTAAGCTAAATGAAAATGAGAACATTTTACATATATATTTTATTTTATTTCAGTTATTTCAAGTAATGGAAATGTGTGAGGTTTTTTAATGGTTTTAGTTTTAGGTCTGTTTTAGGTTTTAGACACATTATTGTAATAAGGAATTGTAGTGCAAATAATGGCAATGCATAAACAATCCTAATGGCCCAAAAATATTTTCTTCATCTCATTTTTCAGTTGATTTTGGGGTAAAATATGATCTTTTCTTTACATTCCCATCCCACTGAAATACTAGTCTATTTATGCAGTTTGCTGCATATATCATATTGCACATTTCGTTCACATGTGTAATGAATGATTAAAAGGATAAGTGGTTACATTTCCTCTCTGTTTACCTTTTACATGTGTCTCTTAGACCTCTTTACATCTGATATTAACATGCATTTCATATCCAGAGAGTATCCGGATATTATTTAGCTGGATTGCATTAATTCCTTGCACTCCGGTGCTTTTCCATTGCGATTTGAATAGAGATACGATCGCACTTATCCACAGAAACCGCCACTTACAGTATATATTACTTAGTTGTACTGTATGTGATTAATAAAAACACATTTGCATTTACACCTTTGTGGAACATGGTTTTGTGTGCATTTACATTTGGCGTTTTTTTGTGGTCAAGTTTCTGTTTTTGATTCAGTCACTGAAAATGCATGCAAATGCCAAATGTGAACAGGGCCTGCCTGTGTTAAATTGTCATCATATCCCTCTGTCTACATGCATGTTTCCTCTCATGTTTCATTCATTCTCATCTTCTCTCTGCATTTTCCAGGCTTGGACTACAGTGAGTAACATCAAATATGCTGCATTTCCCTGCAGTGATCTTTCTTACACACTGCTTTCAATATATTTTAAAATCCCTCTTGACTTACATTTGTGGTTTGTAGTTTCTAGTCCCTGTGTAACTGCTCTGCTAGTTTTCTTTACCATTTCATCTGTTTTTACCCTTGATTCATGTCGAATTGCATATTGAAAGGAACATTTTTTAACTATTTACTGTTAAAAAAGAAAAAATGCACAGATACATGTGTGTAGCTCTGTAGTGGATTAAAGCTTTAGTAGTTTGGCTAGATAAAGCCCTCGCCTCCCGGCTCTAGTGGTTCCTCGCAGTTCTCTCCTCAAAGCAAACAAACACGCTTCTCACGTCCTTCACTTTGAGACTCGTCATTGTCACAGCTCATCTTGATTGATGTTTGAACGAAGATTATCTGAACAGATAGGGATTTCAGACTGGTTTATGAGTGCTAGTAGGGCTGCACGATTATGACAAAAATCACAATTGTTGATTATTCCCTTGAAATTGTAATTGCGATAATTAATTACGATTATCACAATTTACATTGAATGATGTTTATACCATTGTTTGATGCAACTGCATGCCGTATTTTAATATGAAAATAAACAAGCTGAAAACACTGCGATTAGAAATTCGATTAATTGTCCAGCCCTAAGTGCTAGTGTATGATCTTCGTGCTTCATAGCTGGAAATACACAATTTTGATGCCTGCTTGCATTCATCATATTATTGCTGCGTTCCATACAAAGTCGGATGTAGCAGGGTATTCCTACTTAATTTCTCAGTCTATATCACATTGCTCAATGCCTAGATGATGGTGTTTAAAGAAACATGGCAGTGCTGTTCTTTGTTTTGCAGGTACAACAGGGGCTAAAGGCACATCTTAAGGAAATTTGAGTTTTTCAATACTCCCATAGTGTATAAGTGCAGAAAAACATTATATTTTTTTATTGATCATTGGTGGAGCACCATTTTGTGTGAAAAGAATCATAAAAGTAGTTTGTTTTGTTTAATAACCATATAAATACAAAAGGCTCCCAGAATTGGTACAAATATTTTGGTACCAAATATATGGTACCATATTTTGTTTATTTTGATAAAATAATTTAATGTAAATACACTGTCATATATATTTAAAAAAAAAGAACTTCATACAGTGCATGAAGGATATCCCATAATAATTATATGTAATTGTTTATCAATACACTTTTAATTGTAACTGTTTCATTTTAAAATGGTGATTATTTCTAAGTTAGACACTCAATGAAATACATAATTATGACTCTTTGAATCTCATGCCAACTAATGGAAAATACTGTACCATAAGTTTACATATTCTTTAGTTATTTAAAAAATCTGTTGATTTAATTACTCTGAAGGAAACTGAAAATCTTTGTGTCACAAATATATTTGGTAGTTTTAACTATTCTTATTTGCTACATAAATCTATAGCATTAAAATAAAAAAGACATTAAATATGAGATCAACATAGCATAGAATCTTCTTGTGTCATGGATATGCCAGATTTTCAGATGCCGCAGTAAACCGCAGATATGGTTTAGAAGAAAATGTGTCTTCACACTGATCCAGTGGGTATACCCTATGATTATAAACAAAAAAAGCTCATTACCTGTGTTTAAACATCTTTTTCTTCAAAAGTTTGCATTTTATTGGTTTACAAGTGAATGTTTATCATTAAAACTGTATAAGTCCTGTATTACACTTTTCCAGATAGGAACTTGGAAATTCGACTTTCTGAATCTATTCTGAAACTATTTGTCTCAGAAGTCCTGACTAAGAGTATTTGCTTTAGCTTTTTTAAAGCTGAATGTAAAATCTTGAGCAAATTTGTTTGGCCGAGCTCTTTCAAAGTCCATTAAAGTGAAGGATTTGGTGTAGTGGGTCATTAGCGCTCTGTCCTCCCATGGCTGTTCTCTTTCCTCAATTCCTTCCCATCTCTTTCCACACATGCTTCAATCTTCTCTCCTTTCATTTTCTCTCGTGGGCTGCAGAAGGCGCCGAAAGTCTGTAATCGAGGAGGCGGATCGACAGAGTCACATAAGAGCCTTTGCCTCTCGTGCTATCGCCGCTCACAAACTGTGTGCCGGAAACGGAAAGTTGCTCGACAGGTTGCCCAAGTCAGAAAGCAACGTCACCTTCCTCTCGGATCAACGGCTGCTCTCCACGCAAAATCCGCTTTACCAGGATGGAGCGTCAAGTAGTTCCGAGTCCAACTCGGAGGTGCAAAGGGTCAGTGGGTTTTTGGACAGTGATGTCCCATCTCCGACAAGCCCCATCAGCCAGATGACTTCTTGGTCCTTGCCGTCCCGTATTCGAGGACGAGGGCTTTACGATGCTCTGCGCCGGCAGGCACTCTTTGACCCTGCCGAATGGGAGAAGCAAGAGCTGAAGGCGGGGCTTAAGGACAGCAGGGATGAGCTTGATGCTGATGTAGATCAAAGTGGTAGAAGCACAGAAACTAAGCTGTCGGTCCGAGAACAAGCCAGACAGTTTGAGCAGCAAGCTTTAGCCGAACGGATGCCGAGACAGAGCCGGGACTCTTACGCATCTCTAGATCCGGACGACCCACTGCTAACCGCCTTCATGTTCTCATCCAGTCCAATTTCTGTTGGCAAGGACATCCCACCCTGCATTATCATCGCAGTGGGTGATGGTGAGACTCCTCCCCCACCCATGGCTCAGCGTCCCACTCCGCCCGTCCTGAGGAAGTTCAGCTCCAGTATATCCAATTACATGACAGTGGAGCCTTGTGAGATCACTCTGGAATTCATATCGGACTCTCCGGAAAGTCCACCAACCCCTCTTCCTGTCCCATCCTGCTCTTTACTTTCTCCACCTGTGCAACAGGACTCCACCCCACCACCTACCCCAACTCCCGTTCAGTCTCCTGAACCCCCCGCTCAGTCTCCGACTCCTACACGTAAGCTAAGAGGGATCCTCAAGAACACAGGCAGATCTGCCAAAAGCCTTGATGTGAAAGATGACAGCACTTGCGAAGGAGGACTTAAAGACTCCATGACTGTTGTTCTAAAAGAGTCAGAATCTAAACCAGGTGAAACAGATGGCAGCCAATCAGAATCAGACTCTTCTGCTCAGCTCCCAAACTAACCAATCACAGCGGAATAAGAGACTCCGCCCACCCCAACCCTTCATTGCTGAATGAACTCTGGAACTCTTCTGCTATCTTCTTTCCTACACCTCTATCTATCTCATTACTTACTTTTCCCTGTATCATTTCGAGGGCACTTTACTTTGAGAGCACTTTATAGTATACTTCAAAGAAGGTCAAAAGCGTATAGTTTCATTTGTTTTTATGTTATGAGTGAGTTTATACTTCAAGTACTTCATAGAGCGGTCGCTTGTGCATTTGTCAAATAGAATACAGAGAAAAGGAGTGAAGAATTTGATTTAAAATGTTATGCTATAATTATAATTTTTGGACAATGAAATCCTACAATTATAAGCATATAACAGTATTTTTATAAGAACAGCATTATAATGGATTATAATAAAGATGCTTTTAAAAGTATAGGAAAAGGAATTTGCAGTAATGCATTTATATGATCAGAGGAGTGAATGTGTTCATGTAGAACATTCTACCTCTAAACAGTTTTTCTTTATTATTATTTCTAATTTACTGATTTAAACTGTTCTGCTGATTTCAAATTGCAGCCAAACAATGTTTTCTTTTGTTTGTTAGTTAGTTTTAGTAATTTTGGTAATATGAAAAGCTCTCTGAAATGTAACACACTACTCTTTAAAAGTTTGGTCAGCAAGATTGTTTTAAAGAAATTAATGCTTTTATTCAGCAAAAAGTGACAGTAAAGACATTTGTTATTACAAAAACTTTCTATTTTAAATAAATCTGTTCATTTGAACTTTCTATTCATCAAAGGATCCTGAAAAACAGTATCCTGGTTTCCAATAAAATATTAAGCAGCACAACTGTTTTTGTGCTGCATAATAAGAAATTATTTGTTTCTTGAGCACCAAATCAACATATTAAAATCATTTCTGAAAGGTCATGAGACACTGAACACTGGAATAACAGCTGCTAAAAAATTCAGCTAAAGGAATAAATTACATTTTAAAATATATCATGATAGAAACAGTTATTTTAATATTTTACAATATTACTGTTTTTACTGTATTTTTGATCAAATAAATGCAGTCTTGGGGAGCATTGGAACATCTTACCGACCCATTTAAATATGGTGTTTTCATTCTGGTCCAGTGATAAGAGAGGACAGGAAGTATTGAAATGCATAAAAGTGAGTCAGACACTACAAGAACAAGTCTAAAATCACTTAGCTAGTCAACAAATGTCACATTTCCAGCTTTATAATAATTTTTTTCTGTCTCTTTCAGCAGGCGTGGCTTTGGCAGAGAGGTGAGTCAGTTTTTAACATTTCCTTTGATCTGATCACTATTTCTATCACTTAGAGTTAAGATTTTGAAGAAACTCCTAATCCAACTGCTATGACATTTTTCCTGCATGGATATGAATAATACCTCATCATGGCATCATGATAGTGACTTTTGCATTGGCAGACACCTCTTAGATTTTAATTAAACATGTAAGATCCAGTTCTATGTAGTTGATTTAATATATAGGCCTTTTCTTTAATAAATCGAAGGTAAGAGTGCTTTGTTCCCTTGTCACTTCAGGCTGCCAATAGTGCCTCGTGAGAGGCTTACACTGGAATCTCAATGAGATGAAGAGAGCAATTGAAACTTTGCCATTAAACTTACATTTACACCCCGCTAAGGAGTATACTTTAAAAAAGCATCATATGACCCCTTTAAGCAGTACAAAAAACAAGCTGTTTTCAAAATTGATAATAATAATAAATGTTTCTTGAGCACCAAATCAGCATATTAAAATGATTTCTGAAGGATCATGTGACACTGAAGACTGAAGTAATGAAGCTTTATCAGTACATTTTTAAATATATTAAAATAGAAAACTGTCATTTTGAAATTTCAACTATATTTTTCAATATATGTTTTTATTGTATTTTTTAATAAAATAGACGATCAGCCCTGTTGAGCATAAAAGGTCTCTTTATAAAATCATTGAAAATCCTTCAGACCCCAAACTTTTGTACGGTAGTCTAGATGTTCATTTGCATTCCCAGTTTAAATTAAGTTACAGTAATGGGTGAACAAGCACACAGTGTGCCAGAAAAGTTATTGACTGTATCAATTGTGCACCAAACCCTAACTAATTTTAGTAGCCTGTGTGAAGATGAATTCTGACATCTGCCTTTATGTTTGTATTTTAGGCTCTCTCCATGGAATCTGGTATCGACCCTGGACAGGATTACTATAACCAAGACTACTATAGCTACGATCAAGGGTGAGTTTCAGAGTATACACAAGGCTAGTGTGTCTTTGTTCCAGACTGAGTTTGTGTATTTCAGATATTTTTGCATCCTCACTTGAAGGTGAAGGATGTAATGTCTTTCACTCTTTCTCTCTGTCTGTATCCCATGTCCTTTGGATTTCAATCACCTTATCCTTGATCACTTCTTCAGTATTTCTCTACTTTTTTTTTTTTTGACTACGTTTTGATGATGCCAAGACACCTGAGCCCCCAATTTAAAAAAAAATCCAACCAGAGAAACAGAGGCTCTCCAATTAAAGACGTGTGATTTCAGGCTAAAAGATGCCTGTAGTGAGTACAATACACTAATTGAGCATCTTGTGTGTGCAAGTAGAAGGAGACAGCAGAAGCGAGAGAAAGAGCTGTAAACACTCTCAAATTGACACGTAATGTACCATCGGAACAGCTTTACTATTGGAACAGATGCTCTTGCAAATGTTGAACTGCATGGTTTAACGTCAGCCCATCTGAGGAGATGCTGGAAGCTTTGATGAGATTAATGTGCCCTCACCTCCACACAGCCATCTTTAGCTAAGCTCAGTGGATTCATTAAGACGTGAGCCGCATGTTTGCTAGTAGGACTTTCAGAGATCAGACTCAAGTCAAGTGTAATGGCATCCTCTATTACGTTCGGTAGAGTCATTCCATTTTTGTAGCGAGAGGAGCAGCAGATGGTCTTAAAGGCCTCTGTAGTGCTCTGAGCGTTAGCTGTGAGCACCACAGAACAGATGATGTGCTTTAACATCGAGATCAAGACATCAAAACCGCTGATGATAGACTTCTTAAGGTCTTATTTAACATTTTAAAATGGATAGTTCCAGACCTTGATGCAGACCAGTCAATCCAGAATTCCAGTCATACTAAAGTACACAATATGATGCAAAACACCTGTTCATCTAGCTATTAATCTTAGCACTAGGTAAGTTTACATCTTAGGGAATGTATCTTCTAGAAGGATGACATTTAAAGGATTTGCTCCAAAGATTGATTAAATTGTGTCAATAATATTTCTAATATCAATTTTATGCAGAAAACACAATCGTTTTCTTGAGAATTCGCTCAAACTTTCATCCGATTTCAAGTCAAGTGTAATGGCATCCTCTATTACGTTCGGTAGAGTCATTCCATTTTTGTAGCGAGAGGAGCAGCAGATGGTCTTAAAGGCCTCTGTAGTGCTCTGAGCGTTAGCTGTGAGCACCACAGAACAGATGATGTGCTTTAACATCGAGATCAAGACATAAAAACCGCTGATGACAGACTTCTTAAGGTCTTATTTAACATTTTAAAATGGATAGTTCCAGACCTTGATGCAGACCAGTCAATCCAGAATTCCAGTCATACTAAAGTACACAATATGATGCAAAACACCTGTTCATCTAGCTATTAATCTTAGCACTAGGTAAGTTTACATCTTAGGGAATGTATCTTCTAGAAGGATGACATTTAAAGGATTTGCTCCAAAGATTGATTAAATTGTGTCAATAATATTTCTAATATCAATTTTATGCAGAAAACACAATCGTTTTCTTGAGAATTCGCTCAAACTTTCATCCGATTAATTTGAATGTCAAGGTTTTTTGTCCATACTCAAGGCCTTTGAGAAAAAAGGATGGCTTTGATTCCGCAGACATCAAGGGAGAGAGTGGGGAAGATAAATGTTGCACATCTGTCAGGCTGAACTGCACCTGCTATCAGAGAGACCCGGCCTGCTGAAGATCCAGGGCTATTTAGAGAGCTTAGGAATCTTTAATGGGGGTTTAGACTTTAATCCCTGGATCACAGGGGCTGTTTGTCCTGCGTGGGTGGAGCTACGCATGGGCTGATGTTGATTGCGAGTGTAATGAGGCATCTGTTTTGCCTTTCCCATCTTCAATAAGTGCACCTATTTTCAAACCTGTTGGAGGTCTCACTCCCACAATACTCAGAATTGAGGTAGCACAAAGGATGGGAAGCAGAATAAAAAATACATTTAAATTCAAATAAATGTGCATGGTTTGTTTTAAAATAAAATAGAAAAGCAACATGTGTCAAGACAAACTTTTAATTGTTGAAAAAGGCCTTTTTTGGAAAGAACGCATGTGATTGAAGGGATGGGTTAAATCCATCAATAAGCAAATTCAATTTTAATACTTCTGCACACAATAACTTTAAGGTATGTTTATATGTTATATGACTTCCATTATTTTATCCAGGTATGATCCCTATCCACCCTACGGCAGCCGCAGGAGGCTGATTACACCTATGTATGATGAGTATGGAGAGGCCATCATGGAAGATGAAGGATATTACTATGGTGGACCAGAGGTAATCTTACACATTCATTCATAGGCAACTTGAAGAAAATGTTGCAGAAAGGATGGTTTCTCTTGTTCATAATCTTG